GTGCTCTTCCGATCTTGGCTACTCGTTCAGGATCGAAGAATAACGATTGATAACATCAACATAACTTCCACGTATGATAACTTAGAGATATTTGAAGATTTAGCTGTCTACCCTGATAGTGACGTGGTCCTCGCTCAACGGTTCAGTGATGATTTTCTTCAGCTGACGTCTGTGTATCGTCCAAGTCCACAACGAAAAGTAATATGGGAAAATCGGGGAAACTGGACGATTAAGAATGGTTTACGAATGAATACTTTTGACGTGGCTTCGGCACGGAGGAGGAATCTTCAGCAGTCAACTCTTAAATCTTGTCTCGTGGTACTAAGAACACATATTCGTTTATTATAAATGTATAAAGAAACACACTTACATCAACAATATATAATTAGAGATATTTCATTTACAAGCATTATAATAAGAAAGCCAATAACATCAATTATAGCTTATGTTAAAGTTATTCAAAACTCATTGCATAGAAATATTTATTCATCTTTGCAGTTTACAAATCCTGACACGATCAATCACTTGACTGATTTGAAGTATAGAACCATAGATTCTATGGCAAAGATTAATTATATCTGGATACACCATTTAATAAACCGGATGAATGCAACGTAAGTTTTACTTTCTAAAATATATCACGTATAATATAATCTCCAAAATACCGTTAAAATGCTCATGAAGTAAAATTGATAATACTAACACTGAGTTTGTCACACAAAAAGCACATTTATCTTACAAATTTAACAATCTCAAAATAAGCTTTAAAACGATAATAAATCTACAACTAAAATATATTAAAATCATTTATTAGTCAAACTGAATAATAATGATCGAACAATTTTATTATATTTATGTAGTAAAAATGTTAACAAATCATTTTCGTTTAGAATTATTAAATGAACAGAAGGAACCGATTGCATAAGCATATAGTATATGTTTTTTTAGCAAAATTAAAGTATTAGAGTCGGCGTTATTGAACGATAACACCATCATAATTGTTTAAGAACCTTTTTTACAAAAATATAATTTTAGAGGATACATGAAATAAATTATGGCCGTGAGAATCGAATAATTTTTTATGTAAAATAACGAAACATAATTCTTGAAAATTATTACATTGTAATTTTATTGTTTTTTCATTTTACACGACAGGGTAACTTTCGATATTTTGGATAACTGGGGACACAACAAAAATGGATCTTGGGATGGGATGACCGGAATGCTGCAGCGACGTGAGATTGACATTGGCGGCACAAGTATGTTTATGCTGGTAGAGCGCATCTCTATAGTGGAATACATTCAACTGTACACACGTACTAGGTAAAATTGCATCTAAAATCCAAGCAGTCGAATTTTAGTTGCTATATTATTTTACAATTGCATTATTACAAATAAATATAGAGATTATTTCTGCCTCAAAAGTATCGACCTTTGCAATCCTTGTGACTTCAGATTTATATACAATATTATTCAAATTATATAATTTGCAAATGAAAATCGTAAAAGTATTATTTGCGCACTTATATACGATTTACTTTTAGCCAATTTTAAAAACAAGCCATAAATATATAAGTAATTAATTTTTACTTATTTCATTATCTTAAAAAAATAAAACATGTTTTTATATCAGTTAATAAAACAACATATTTAGTTTTTGAAAAATAAATAAGTGTTTCTTTAAGAATATCTATATTAGTATCGGCGATTTTTTAAATTATATAATTCTCGTTCTTTGAGAATTGAAGTATCAAACTTTTGAAGCTTTGAAGCTTCAAAATTTCGAAGATTTTAATGCAATTCGAAACATCGAATTTTCGAATCTTTAAAATTTCGATAATTCATCTTTGAAGAATCAAAATTATATAATTAGAGATAAGTCGCTGAAGAAATCTTCAAAGCCTTTGAATCAAATCATCAGCTCTACACGGAGAAAATTTTGTATTAAGATTTTATACAATTTTTATCATATTTTACTAATTTTTGAATTATCGGTAGATCATCATAACTTTATGTAGATTAAATTACAGCACAACATAGTAAAATTTAATACTAACTTCACTTTAACAATTTTTGACATAGTAAAAATTCGTAAATCAAGGTTATAATCTTTATTGTATAGCTTTAATCTTTATTGAATAATGTACGTATGATCATTTATCATGTGTATATTGGTCAGAGTGCAAGAATTCCAAGATTTATAATTAAAGATTGCAAATCGAATACTTCCCAAACAATATATAAAATCCAATATCGGGAGATAAAACGTCTCTAAGACGCCTTTCAGACGTTTCTCGCAAAGATGTCTTCAAGATGTCTTTTAGATGTCTTTAACACATTAATGTTCCGACCTTGGACTTTATGTTGCTTAGTTACGTATTCTTTTCAGGGTTGGGTAGTGCCTAATTAAAAAGATAAAAGTTAAATTAAAAAATTTTAAAAATATATAATTTTAACTAAACTTATTGTTACATTTTATCGGTAATTTTTAACTTTTGATCTAACTTTCTTGAAGTTACATTTTTAGTGCTTCTTGTAAACCCAAAATAAAATACATGTATAAGTTAGTGTCTTCAAACTCAAATTTGAGAACACACATTAAGTTCACACAATTGTAATAATATAATAAATGTATAGTCTGGCCGTGGAAAGGAATCACTGTTCGCGGACCTTCTGATGTGCATTAAATCACGTTGGAAAAAGTTCTTTGAAATCGGTCCTCTTTCCGGCTCGATAAAAATAAGTATAACAAATATATATTTTATTTAGAAACTTTATTTAGAATTAATCCTAAAATTATAAAATAAAAAAAATTAACTTTAACTTTTCAATTACTTTTTTTTATTAACTTAACTTTTAACTCAATTAATTTTATTATGGACTAACTTGTATCTTAACTAAGTTAAATTTTTAGACTGTTATAACTTCAACTTAACTTAGTTTAAAAAAAAAATTAACTTATCCAACCCTGATTCTTTTATATACATTCTTTACGATACGAAATGACACTGCACTTCGATGAAACGACACAGCATTAATTAAGAAACTATAATATTAATATCGTCTAGAGACTCTAGAGCTGAGCTTTTCTGTTTCTTCCTCTCGTTGAACCGCGTGACGCTACAGCGTTCGATTGCTTCTGCCGGTTCTTACAAGCAACGATTCCTTCTACTTCTATTTTCCATGAGTCTATTTTCATTTCCCCATAAGTCCTTAAATGTCCTTAACAACGAGAGTTATTGAATTTCAAACGTTTCGACATAACATTTATTATGTCAATATCGTAATTTTTGTAACATAATAAATACAGTAATTTTTGTGAAACCGGCGTTCAAGCTATATTCTAATAGAAAGAGTTAATTTTTACTATGGTATGCAGTAAAAATTTACCTAAAAAATATTTTTTTACAATATTAACTTTTATCCAGCAAGTTTTGCCTTTGTAATATACAAATTTTTACTATAAGAAAATATAAAAATGATGTTGCATTATTGTTTTAAAAAAATAGTTATAGCATTTATCTAAACTTATATAATTACCTGATGGCCCGTAGCTCCTACCGCATTATAGTACACAGTTTTGGCTATAAAATTTTATCCGAGTATTATTATCATTATTGTTCAATTCTATATTTCTGTTGGATTTCTATTTAAATTTTTAAAATATTTCCTATCATATCTCTATTTATAATAATAATTATTATTATTATTATTTTAAAGATCTATACACATTACACATTACTAATTACACATTACAACGCATAAATTTTGTGCAGTTTTCGTTTCGTGTTCCGACGGCCCTTATTGTCGACTATAAAGAATATCTTCACCTTGCCTTTTCATCGAAACGTCTGGATAGCGATCGCCATATTTCTTGTTCTTGTCTTCTGCTTGTTACACGTATCTATGAAATGGGAACACTACCGAGGTACTTCGAAAAATTCCGCTGCTTACTGGAATCAATTGAATGTCAGCGAACCGAAGGTTATCGATGATCTTTTTGTCCTTTTAGGTGCAATCGTGCAACAAGGTATAATAATATAATAGCTTTTCAATTTTCAAGTCCAAATATTTCGAGAAAGTAAACTTGTAAAATAGTATAATAGAAGCTTTCTATTTCGGAATTTATTCTCTCCTCTATTGGGGGAATTCATTTTCTCCTCAATTTCTCTCTCACTCCTAATCTGATGCGCGAAATAAAACCTTTTTGCTTTTCTTTTTTGTTTGATGATTACGTAATTATAAAATAGGCAAAAAGAGAAATCAAAGTGAAAAAAGAATTCCAATTTGTAACAAGAGAGTGTGTTACTTTAGAGAAAAAGGATGTATATACAGAACATATAAGAGTCAAAAAATCGAAAAATTGCTTTTGTGTATTCGTAGGATATTCGTATGAGCCATATAGAATTCCATCTCGAATCATTACTTTTATGTTACTACTGGCTTCATTGAGCCTTTATGCGGCTTACACGGCGAACATCGTGGCTCTTTTACAGTCTACCACGGACTCAATCAAAACCATTTCCGATCTTTTGTATAGCCCGTTAACTCTTGGAGCGCAGGATTTAACATACAATCGATATTTTTTCAAGGTAGATATCATTGTTATAAAACAAGGAGTTAATTAATAAACGATTATATCGAGAAAAATAAATTTCGTTTTATTGGAATGTATAAGTCTGTACAAGATCCTATCAGAAAGGCAATCGTGGAGCAGAAAATTGAACCGAGAGGACATAAATCGAACTGGATGAGTCTGGAAGAAGGAGTACGCCGCATAAAAAGCGAACCTTTCGCGTTTCATTGCTTACGAAGCTCGATGTATCACATCATACAACGCACATACCAGGAAGAGGAGAAATGCGGTTTAACTGAAGTCGATTTTATGAACACACTTCTTGTGAGGTATCCGCTTATTGTGACACAAAAACAATCGCCTTATTTAGAGATAATAAAAAACGGGTAAGTTTATATTAACTTATTACTCGACGCAAATAAGTATAAATGTGCATATTAAAGTTTAATGTAAAAATCTTTTGTCAGAAAACGCATAATGTTTCGTATTAAATATATGTAGTAATTTTAAGATAGTAATTTTAAGTATAGTAATTTTAGTATAGTAATTTTAAGATATTTGAGTATATGATATAAAAAAATCGACAATTACTTAAACATTATGTTCCTAAAATTATACTTTTATTGAAAAAACAATTTTACTTATAAAATGATCGAGGATGAAGTATATACGAGGAATACATTTTCTTTATTTTTTCTGAAGAATATAAAAATCATTTACAAAAAATTTTGCAGAGATGTTTTTATTCAAAACTTTTATGTTTTTTTAATAATGCTTTTAAGAGTAATTTTTTTTTAATGAAGCCTAAAGAGGGTTGCGTTGTGTTTGCATAAAATATTAGAATAAATTGTGGTGTACGTATATTTGAGGAAAATGTTTTCAGAGCTTTGAAACTGCAAGAATATGGGCTCAAGCATCGCGATGAGCATCGCATGTTTACGAATAAACCAGTGTGTTCGAGTCAGACTAGTTTTATTACTATCGGTTTTACAGAATGCTACTTTGCGATAGTTATGATGGGCTACGGAGCGCTACTCAGCATAACCGTATTTGTATTCGAACTGTTATGGTATAAATGGTAATACTCTCTCTTCTGAGAGAGAAAAATTCTCTCTTCTGTACATGCGTCATTATGATCTTACATTACCTTTTACAGGCAAAATATGAATATAACAGAAGAGACAACTGTGGTAGAAGAAAGGGATCCTGATTATCAAGTACATTAACCAGACTATTGCAAAATATATTTTTTCGATTAAGAATTAAGAAATTAAGAATTAAAATTTTTTAAATACTACTGATGCGGCAAGCAAATGAACTTGATTTCTCTGAAGATTCTTTCCGCGATTTTTACGAAGGAAAGTTGATTAATATTAATTTAGCGCAAACACTAGTATGTGGTAAATATATAGTAATAAAAATTGATAATGTATAATATATATAAGTATTAAATATATAGTATGTATAAAGTATGTATGTAATTCTTTTTGTTGTATAGAAAGCTGATCCCCCAAATATTTCCCAACATATCAGGTTTTAACTTTGAAAAACAGTTCCGTTTTGTAATATGATATTGTAAAATTGATTATTAAAATGAACGGTTTACAATTATAATTAATTTTAATAAAGTTACCAGTATTTATTACATATTAATAAAGATTATATATTACATATATTATATTTTATGGTGTTATTTTCTATATAAATACAATCCTAATAAAAAATGAATTAATTTGTAATAAAAAATTAGTAATGTATTTAAAACACAATGTGATAATTATATTAAAAGGAATTACAAAATAAATAATTACATAATAAACGTGTTTTTATTTTTTCTGTACATGCCTTATAAGCGGAGATATTGCAATGTTAAGTTCGAATTTTAGAAACTTATTTTTAAGAAGTGTCGTGGTCATTATTATTATGTTGTTCATAGTCATTGTTTCGTGTGATGTTCGATTTCATTACAGTTTTTTGAGAGGCGTTAGCGATACATGCATGGTCAGTGAGTGAAAATGAATGAATAAAAATGATAAAATGAGTTAGAGAGAAAAAACGAGTGTGAGAGAGAAAGAGCGAGTGCGAAAGAACGTTATTAAGTAAATAAAAATAGTCACATAAAGTTTACTGTTTAATAGTTTATTTAATAGCTTATCCTGTACGTATAGTTCTAATCCACACATCTATATCATTCGTTCGAACAATATACATTTTATGATTATTATTTCTAGCTGTTACTGATGTTGCAATGCAATGTTCCTTAAATCTTTTTATTATTGTATTAAACTTATTAATAGATTTATGTGAGCGACGCAGTAGCGGCACGATGCCAAGTAATACATAAAGAAATTGATAAGTCATGCGGTGTGAACATTGATGCGTAAACGTCATCGTGGCGCTATTTATCTAAAATTCATGTGTCAAATGCATTTTTGGTTAAAATATCTTAGAAATTAAAACCATAATAAAAAATTTAATGGCAATTTTATAATATAATGTTGATGTAAACCGATTAAAATCGGTACACTCAGTTTTGAGATTTCGAGATTTCTTATGCAAAAAAGGACACTTTCCTTATTTTTTAATTTTTAGAATGTACACACACACGCAAAGCCGTTTGTCAAGCAGCTTTTACAATGTCTACATATATTACTAAAATTACAATTATAATTAATAGTTATTGTAATAATTAATAATAATAATAAATATTATAATCATTATTAATTTAATTAATTATTTATAAATAACTAAATATTGCCTATGCCAGCCGACACGGATGTTAAAGTGT